GAGAGGTTCATCAATCATTTTGTTTCCAGGATTTTCTCTTTTCTAATTATAGACTTTGGCATTGTGTACCTCTCTTTTCTTGTCTAAAAACTTCTTAATCGGAAAAATCGATAATTCTCTTCTACTTTCTTCATTTTTCCTTTCTGTTGCAAGTCTTTTTTGGTTGTTTCTCCTCGTTTAATCGTTTTTGCGTTTCTCTTGTAAGGTTTTGCTTTCTAGATACCTCCAATGGAGGATTTGGAAGCAACAGGAGCAGTATCTCCTCCTCCAGAAAATTCTAGTGTGACCTCAAATGTTAGTGGTGATGTTGGAATTATAAAGCCTGAGTTGCAGCAACCTGAGGTAACACCAAAAAAACTAGAGAATAATGATGAGGCAATTCAACAATCTCATGGTGAAGGTTCAACTGAAAATGGGAAAATTTATATGGATGACACTTTTTTACCTTCCAGTTTATCAAACTCTCCAGTAGAAGAAACACAAGATTCTTCTTCTACTACTACAAATCCTACTTTGGTTTCTGAGATTGTTCTGCCTCGGGTTAAGATTAACCATGGAGCAGAGGGCACAACAAGAAATGGGTTGTCTCCAATATCTCGTTCTTCCCCAAGAAGCATTGGATCTCCAAGGGCACTCTTGTCTCCAAGATTTTCAGGATCATCACCATTGAGCAATGGAACACCGAAAACTCTGCATTCTTATGGAGACTCAATTGATACAGCATCGCCTTTTGAATCTGTTAAAGAAGCTGTCTCAAAATTTGGGGGAATTACAGATTGGAAAGCACATAGAATGCAAGTATTCGAGGTATAATTAGTTATGTGTATGATCTGACTTCTTTGCCTTTGTATTGGCCAAGCTTTTTTACTCACTGTTTCTGTTGCAGCGACGCAAGTTTGTGGAAGATGAGCTCGAAAAGATCCAGGATGAGATTCCTGAGTACCAGACAAAATTAGAGACCATCGAGATGACAAAACTTCTAGCAGTTGAGGAGCTAGAGAGCACAAAGAGAGTCATAGAAGCGTTGAAGCTGAATCTTGACAAGGCGGAAACAGAAGAACGACAGGCAAAGCAAGACTCTGAGCTTGCAAAGATGAGAGTTGAGGAGATGGAACAAGGAGTCGCTGATGAAGCCAGTGTTGCTGCTAAAGCACAGCTTGAAGTGGCTAAAGCCAGACATACAACTGCGATTTCGGAATTGGAATCTGTCGAGGAAGAGCTACAAACTCTGCAACAAGAGTATGATGGTTTGGTAAAAGAGAAAGAGTTGGCTGTAAAGGAAGCAGAAGAAGCAGTTTCGGCTTCTAAAGAAGTTGAGAGGAAAGTTGAAGAACTCACTATAGAGTTGATAGCTACAAAGGAGTCGTTGGAATGTGCGCATTCTTCTCATTTGGAGGCGGAAGAACATAAAATCGGAGCAGCCATGTCGCGTGATCATGAAACTCACAGGTGGGAGAAAGAACTGAAGCAAGCAGAGGAAGAACTCCAAAGACTTAAGCAACATATAGTTTGTACAAAGGAACTAAAAATGAAACTTGACTTTGCTTCAGCATTGCTGCTTGATTTGCAGAAAGAGTTGGCAGATTATATGGAATCATACAGGTTGCAGGAGGAAACGGGTGACTCAGCAAGCAGTGAGATCTCATTACAGGACAAATCCCATACAGATATACAATCAGCTGTTGCTTCTGCAAAGAAGGAACTTGAAGAAGTGAATGCGAATATCGAGAAAGCAACTGCTGAAGTACATAGCTTAAAGGTAGCATCCTCTTCCTTGGGATTGGAACTTGAGAAAGAAAAATCAGCAGTTGAAAAAATCAAACAAAGAGAAGGGATGGCGTCGATAGCGGTTACTTCTCTAGAAGCTGAGATCGACATAACGAGGTCCGAAATAGCTTTGGTTGAGTCCAAGGAAAAAGAAGCCATGGAGGAAATGGTGGAGCTACCAAAGCAACTGCAGCAAGCAACTCAAGAGGCAGATGAAGCGAAATCATTCACTGAACTTGCTCGTGAAGAGCTGCAAAAGGCTCAAGAAGAAGCAGAGCAAGCAAACGCTGGAGCAACTACAATGGAGAGCAGATTATTTGCAGCTCTGAAAGAAATTGAAGCTGCTAAAGCTTCAGAGAGGTTGGCATTAGCCGCCATCAAGGCATTGCAAGAGAGCGAATCTGCTTTAAAGGACAACATTGTTGATTCTCCGAGAACCATAACACTGACATTAGAGGAGTATTATGAGCTTAGCAAGCGTGCTCATAAAGCTGAAGAAGAAGCTAATACAAGAGTTGCAGCAGCGGTTTCTGAGATCGAGGAAGCCAAAGAAACAGAAAAGAGAAGCTTGAAGAAGCTGGAAGAAGTAAACAGAGAGATGGTTGCAAGAAAGGATAAACTTGCAGAAGCAATTGAGAAAGCTGAGAAGGCTAAAGAAGGGAAGTTGGGCGTAGAACAAGAGCTAAGAAAATGGAGGGAAGAACATGAAGTAAAGAGAAAGAATGGTGATAATGGAGTGAGCATAGAGAAAGTTCATGGAAAAAGCGTGAAAGAGTCTAACGAGGAAGAAACTGAAGCTAATGAGTCACATGGAACAGAGACAACCCCAGTCCCACAGGCAAATCCTGTAAAGAAAAAGAAGAAATTTTTCCCAAGATTTTTTATGTTCATGATGAAGAAGAAGTCACATAAGTGAGTATATGACTTCTTTGCATTGTACCAAAGTACTGTGTTTTTTCTTTGCATTGTCTAAACATGTCTGTTAACAATATATGAAACCAACAAGATCAATGTTTTTTTGTCTTGTCTAAACTTTGGCCATTACCGCCGGTTCAAAGTTGAATCCGGTCCGGTTAATATATAGACCACATAGTGAAGGTGGATGTTGTGGGCCGGATCTAAAATAAAATGCAGCGTTCAAATGGACTGTTGGATCAGAAGAGTAATCAACGGTAAAGATGTCTAAAATGTCCAAAGTTTGACCAAAGTTTCAAATCTTAATATTAGAAGACTAGAAGTATAAATGATATCTATAAATTCAGACAAAAAATTATTAGTATATAACGAATATTCGGTCATAACATTTTTTTAAAAATCTATGGACATTCATGTTTACACACTACTTTTATCAAATTTTAATATATGTTTTTATTTTATTTTTGTTCACAGTTGTTTATATAAAATATTTTTTAATTCCCCAAAATTCGAATGGTCACGCTCGACGAGAATACATGTGTCAAGTATAATATTCCGTGTCCACTATCTTAGTTCTCTTTAAATTATGCGATTGATTAAAAAAAAAAATTCATTTATAA